TCAATTGCACAGTATTGCGCAATAACACAGTATTGTACAATAGCAAGAATCTTCAATTGCACAGAATGCACAATAGCAAGAAATCTTCAATTACACTGTATTGCACAATAGCACAGTATTACGCAATATCACAGGATTGCGCAATAGCAAGAAATCTTCAATTGCGCAGTATTGCACAATAGCAAGAAATCTTCAATTGCACAGTATTGCGCAATAGCACAGTATTGGGCAATATCACAGTATTGGGCAATAGCAAGAAATCTTCAATTGAAAATAAATACAAACCTTTTAACCAATTTCAATGGGATTAATTTAAAGTCTTTAATTTTTGGGGGTTCTAACCTTGTATTACTAGTTTGGATATTGGGCCCCATTTTTAAATTGGTCTACATTGAGGTCCAAAGGGTCCAAAATTAAACTTTGTTTGATTTCATCAAAAACTGAATTATTGCAGCTCTCCCATACAGAAAAATGATAGGATGGCCAACTGCATTGCTCAACTGGCCGCCAGTTGAACAAACAGTTGAGGGCCAGTTGAGGGCTACCTGGATTTTTGCCATGCAAATTAGGTAGCCCTCAACTATCAAATGCTCAACTTTATGCAAATTAGTTGAGCAAGGTTGAGAAAATATCATAGTTGAGGGCTAGGTGTCCAACAGTTGAGCAATTAGAGTTGAGGGCTACCTGGCCAACAGTTGAGGACCAGGTCATTAAAAGTTGAGGGCTAGGTGACCAATAGTTGAGGACCAGGTCATTAAAAGTTGAGGGCTAGGTGGCCAATAGTTGAGGGCCAGGTCTTTAAAAGTTGAGCATTACATGTATCTGGTCATTGCAAACTGATGACTACACATTGTAGAAAAAATAAATTTAAATTGTGTATTTTATATAGCCAAAATACTGCTGAAAGATCTTTACACACAACAGACTACATGACAGCTTTATCCTTGCTTTTTAAAAGTTATTATCTAGTAAATAAAATCTAGTTAATCCTGCAGCCATATTAATCTTTATGCAAGGAGAAGTATTTAGATATATATTGAAATACTCAAAACAGAAAGTGTTGTTCAACCAGAAAAAAAATTATATATATATCTGTCATTTGTGGATAGATGTCTTATTTGCAGTCATACCCCAGATCTCTAGTTTTATACCAAATTCATTATATTAGAATATTCTTATTTTATTAGTAATACTTTCTAAAACAAATTGTCTTAAATAATAAAATAAATATGTCTCCTGTCTTACACATTTTGATAATATATAAATTAATGCATAAATATATTGTCTAAAATTTTTCTTCACTCTAAAAAGTTAACAAGACACTTTAAATATCACTATTTTGAACTATTAAAGAGCATATTCACTTATTCAAAATGGTGGAAATTCTAATCCAATGTACTTACCAAAAGATGTTTCCATAAATATGTGTTAAAACATCAATCTTCCTAAATCCAAGAGTCATGTCATCAGAAGAATACACTGCACTATTCAATGTCAATACAGTTATTTGTAACTTTTTGATCTACATCTATTGTAAAATTCATATTTTATTCATGATAGCTAGAAGACATCTTTGCTTGCCATGTGCATGCTCAAGCCCAGTTCAAATTTTAAATGTTTGAGGTTGTTTAGGGTATTTTGACAGTGTGATCCCTTTGAAATTTGCCCCTAATAATAACTGTTAATTACCTAAATCATGAATATTTGATATATCTTATAATAAAAAAAATACTGTTTGTTTTTTTAATTTATCTTTATGTTATGAGTTATAGTTAAGTTAAAATACAGAAAAATGTATAAAAACATGTGCTTCCCTTAATTTGGCCTCAAACTCTGTGTACATTTATAATAGTACTTCCTGTCTACTTGCATTATACACAGAGATAAATGGAAAACAGATGGCACATAACATTTATATCACCAGCTCATATTTCTAATTGCTCAACTTTTGCTCAACTATATGAAAAGTTAAACCAAAGATCAATTGATCAATTTTTCCTACTACAAAAAAAATCAAAGTCTGAATGCTCAACTTTTCCTCAACTACAAAAAATTTAAAGTCTGAATGCTCAACTTTTGCTCAACTATATGAAAAACCAAAGATCAATTGCTCAACTTTTCCTCGACTTAATGGCCAGCTTCAGTTGAGGGCCAGTTGAGCGACATCTATCAAACATACAGTGCTTGTCAGCCACATGGCCCTCAACTAGCCCTCAACTTTTCTGTAGGGGCTATCATCTGCTTAATCTTATTGTGCATTTCGAATTTTTATTTTGGGCCCTGTTTTCACATAAGTCCATATTAAGGTTTGAAGGATCCAAAATTAAACTGTGTTTGATTTCAACTAAAATTGAATTTTGGTGTTTTTTTAATGTGCTGAATATAACCATGCTGTTAGATTTTGGATATCAGACCATACTAGGTAAGTTAAATGTCCCATTTCAAATTTTTAAGATCTTTTACCACATTTATTTTGTGTCAGAAACCTATATTATGTCAAAAATTTGATCACAATCCAAATTTAGACAGTATCCAGCTTGAATATTGTGTCCAAACTTGCCCCAACTGTTCAAGGTTCTATCTCTGTGGTCGTATCAGGCTGCTCTCGGCGAAGCATTTTATTTTTTCATTTAGATTGTTGATAATACCAAAGGATTCACAATATATTTCGACTTTTTCAGGAATGAAATCCAGCTATGTGGTGACATACAGAAAATGCAGTTCGTGTGACAATGTTATTAAATACTACGCTTGTCCCCTCAAAGTCAAGGAAGTGTCGAATGTGCAAATACTGATATAAAAGATATGACAATTACATAGATGCAGGATAATGGTTGTAAAGATTGGCCTGCAGGAATTAAATGTGTCCAATTTAAAAAAAAATCAAAGCTACCACTCTGGCATTAAAGGGACAACCTATAAGGCAATGTTTGGATTAGAGGCAAAGGTTGGCCTAACATCATCCTCCTTGCCATATGAAATAATTTTGCTTTTAAACACAGAGGATGATCTTAAAGATATAACCATCACAGGGTTTTGAGATAACGTAGAAGACATCGAAATTAATAATATCAACATTCCCATTGATAGCCATAACTTTACATGTATTGTTTGCCAAAAGTCAGCGTCAAATGCACATTCATGTTCTAAATGTAAATGCACAGTGCATGTTATTTGTGGTAAAACAAATGGTGAAGAAGGTTATGGAGCATCTGTTTTGTGTTCTTTGTGTTCAAATGAACATGAAATTCAAACTGAGAGAACTTATAAACGCAACTAAATATATAGAAAAACAGGCAGAATGAATGATTGACAGATCGAACAAAATTTTGGAGGAGGCCGACATTGGATGTAATGTTTTCATACTAATTCCGCAAGTCGATCGAGGAAAGGGAGACCCCAAAAACATAATGGCCATTATTCATGAAAAGACTGAAAAAGGATATTGCCTGGCCACAAAACATGGCATTCTGCACTGATCACAAAAGAAATCAGGCTGCTGATTCCCTTTTTTTGGTACCTTCAGATGTTTGTACTGAAAAGTTTACTTCTCTTAGGTGTGCCGTAAAATCTGATTCGATATGTGAAGGACAAGGTTTTTTTGAATGTGGATGTTGTGGTAAAAACAGATGTGAATCAAATAGATGTGCCTGTAGAAAAGCAGGCCAAATGTGCAATAGTCGATGCCTGATCCAAATTTAGTTTGTAAAAATAAACGATTATTTTAAAATATTGTGTAACATTGTAATATATTGTGCCTAATATTTTAATATATTGTGCTTATCATTTTAATATATTCATATTGTGCCTAATATTTTAATATATTGTGCTTATTATTTTAATATATTGTGCTTAACATTTTAAGATATTGTGCCTAACATTTTTATACGGCCGCAAAAAAAATTTTGTGGTCGTATATTGGTATGACGTTGGCGTCGTCGTCATCTTCCGGCATCGTCGTCGTCATCCAAAGACACAATGGTTTTCGCACTCTAACTTTAGTTTAAGTGAATGGATCTCTATGAAATTTTACCATAAGGTTCAATACCACAAAAGGAAGGTTGGGATTGATTTTGGGGGTTATGGTACCAACAGTTCAGGAATTAGGGGCCAAAAATAAGCATTTTTGTAACTTCCAGACATAACTTGTGTGTTAGTGTATGGATCTCTGAAATTGTACCACAAGGTTCCATATCACAATAGGAATGCTTGGATTGATTTTGGGGGTAATTGCCTCAAAATTTTAGGAATTAGGGGCAAAAAAGGGGCAAAAAACAAGCATTTTTCTAGTTTCATGACAATAACTTGTGTTTAAGTCTATGGATCTTTCTGAAATTGTACTACAAGGTTCCATATCACAAAGGGAAAGCTGGAATTGTGTTTGGGGGTAATTGCCCAAAACTTTTAGGAATAAGGGGCCAAAAAGAGGCCAAAAATAAGCATTTTTCTAGTTTCCAGACAATAACTTGTGTTCAAGTGTATGGATCTCTCTGAAATTGTACTGCAAGGTTCCATATCACAAAGGGAATGCTTAGATTGATTTTGGGGGTAATTGCCTCAAAATTTTAGGAATTAGGGGGCAAAAAAGGGGCAAAAAACAAGCATTTTTCTAGTTTCATGACAATAACTTATGTGTAAGTCTATGGATCTTTCTGAAATTGTACTGCAAGGTTCCATATCACAAAGGGAAAGCTGGGTTTGAGTTTGGGGGTAATTGCCTTAAATGTTTAGGAATTTGGGGCCAAAAAAGGGCCAAAAAACAAGCATTTTTCTAGTTTCCAGACAATAACTTGTGTTCAAGTGTATGGATCTCTCTGAAATTGTACTGCAAGGTACCATACCACAAAGGGAAGGCTGGGATTGAGTTTGGGGGTGATGAATCATAAGGGGGTTCAAAAAATTTGGGGGGGGGGGATTTTTTTTCTTTAAAATTTTCCATTTTAAATTGGTTATTTCTGATTTATATATAAAAGCAAATAAAAGTGATATGGTTTGAATAGGTAAATTAAAAAAAATTAAGTTCTTAGACCACATTCAATCTGTGTGAGAAACCTATGCTGTGTCAAATATTTAATCACAATCCAAATTCAGTGCTGTATCAAGCTTGAATGTTGTGTCCATACTTGCCCCAACTGTTCAGGGTTCGACGTCTGCGGTCGTATCAAGCTGAGCCCAGTGGAGCATTTTATTATATATTGAGGTTATCATTTTAATATATTGTGCTTAACATTTTAATATATTGTGCCTAAAATTTTAATATATTAAAGACATATGAAACTTAAAATTTAAAAAAAAAGTTGAATATGTTTTATATACTGAAATGTCTAAGTTTAACTATAAAACAAGTGAACCTGAACTTTCTTGTAAAAGAAAATCTTTTATATTATCAAAATCTTCCTAAATGTACTGCTATTGAATTATAATCTTCACATACTTTAATTCCCGGATATTTTCCTGTATGCAGTAACCTTAACCATGAGACCTCTCGTTAGAACTTCGGTCGCCACACAGCACAAGTGCGAGGGGGAAACCTTGATGAAAGAATGTAAAAAATCGTGCACTGGAAGGTTAATTGTACATGTAGTAACTGATTCTTAAAGAACACATTTAATACAACAAATTATTTAAAAACTGTTAAGAAAAAGTTTAATTAACAATTTACTTATTTGTCACGAGCTTCACGTGCTCTGTGTTGATTGTTTATCAATGTCACGACCCGGTAAACTTCGACAACACACTCAAAAGATAATTAACTTTCTATCAACAATCACTGAATAAAATATTATTTGTTGATTATATGTTATAGATTCGTAATAGATATAAAAAAAAAAAAATGTGCATGCAGGACTTGGTTTAGTATATTTGCATTCATTGGTTCAATCATTTAGATAACATTAAAATTACAAGAAACTCGTTTCATATGACTTTAATGTTATCATTTTGATATATTAAGGGTATCATTTTAATATATTGTGCTTAACATTTTAATAGATTGTGTCTAACATTTTAATAAACACATGTATTGTGCTTAACATTTTACAGTTTATGTTTATAATGATGTTTAAATATGATTATATAGAATAAATTATTTAACTTTCATTCATTTTCAAAACTGTTTCTTCATTTTAGTTATTATGTATAATCCCTGACTTTTTTTCTAGTGATTATACATAATCCTTGAAAATTTTAGTGATTATATATATTATCAAATTCATAACAGTGTTGACGAGACCATTCGTTGGCGCGCTCAGTTTTCCAATTGACTTGTTCAGATCATGTAACCGTTTGTCTGTTACGCCTTCTTAATACGTTGTTGTTACAAGGGGCATTTAAACGTACGGGGGTCACCAAAGGTTTCTCAACGCCTGAATACTCGAAAGAAAATACTACAGGCGTATTGATTAACATTGAATATCTTGACATTCTTCACCAACGATCGATAATCAAATTATTTATCATACTCACGTTCTTTAAAAATTTAAATAAAATTTCACTAGCTTCAAAAGTAGTAATTGGTAACCTTGGTTCGTTTCTTATGAAAATACAGGAACAATATTTTTTAATCTCAGTGTCGTATTTCTTTTTGTCCCTAATTCTAAATTGATATTAATTAGTTTTTTTCACCTTTTTTTCCTGAATGATTGAGGACTGGGCAATATTTATTGACTTAGAGAATTGACCAATCCATTGAATGGGTTGCAATGCATGTTGAACTACTACGTACTTTATCAAGAACACATGTGTTTTTCAGTGACCTACAACTCACTTTTTTATGGCCCCGCCGTAGCATAGGGGGCATTAAGTTTTACCCTTGTCCGTCTGTACGTACGTACGTCCCAAAATTGGTTTCCATTCTCTAATTTGAGTTTGCCTCAACCAAATGTTATGAAACTTATACACAATGCTTATTACGACAAAACACAGATCAAGTTTGAATTTTGGTGGCGTCACTTTAACCATTCTAGAGTTATGCTCCTTTATAAATGGAAAAATTGCAAAATTTTTATTTTCTTCTAAATATCAAGTAATCTCTAAAATTGGAGTTATCTTCGTTTGTCTATGATTATAGTTGAATCAACTACAATCAATGCTTTATACAATGCAATGTTTAATTTTGACTTCCACTGATAAAACACAGATCAAGTTGAATTTGGATAGTGTCACTTTAACCATTATTGAGTTATGCCCCTTTATAAATCAAAAGATTGCAAAATTTTTAGTTTCCATTCTGTAACTTAAGTTTGCCCCAACCAAACATTATGAAACCTAAGATCAAGTACAATTTTTTTGTTTCCGTTTTCTCACTTAAGTTTGCCTCAACCAAATGTTATGAAACTTATACACAATGCTTATTACTACATAATACAGATTAAGTATGAAATTTGGTGGAGACACTTTTACCATTCTTGAGTTATGTCCCTTTATAAACATAAAAATTGCTGAATTTTTCGTTTCCATTCTCTAACTTTAGTTTGTTTCAACCAAATGTTATAAAACTTATACACAACCGTTCTAGAGTTATGCGTGTTTACAAATAGAAAAATTGCTGAATTTTCAGCTTCTGTTCTCTACTTAAGTTAGCCTCAACCAAATGTTATGAGACTTACACACAATGCTTATTACCACAAAACTCCGATCAAGTTCAAATTTGGGTAGTGTCACTTTTACCGTTCTTCAGTTATGTCCCTTTATAACTATATGATATGCAAGCGGGGGCATCATCTGTGTCCACATGTGGACACTATCCACATTTATCTTCTTTTGTGTCTACATTTGATAAAGCATAAGTTGTATGCTCAGATATTAAAATAACAAACGGAGAGCTGATGAACTGTAACACCTGATAATTTGTAGTTTATTACGTCAACAAAACCCTGTTACAGTGTCATAACCTATGTGTTACAATTAAATTGTTTAGTATGAGGCTTTTGGTTAATAATTATTCTACTACCAAGATATTATGAACACATTATTTAAAAATGCATCGATTGATTAAAAAAAATGTAAGTACAATTCTAAATTAGATTGTTGTGATTCAACTGCTGCAGTTAACAGGTCGGGACAATTCCAGAGGCGGATTTAAGTGGGGGAGGGGGGTAAGATGTCCCCCCTTAGGGAGCTTCATACTTGCTTAATGCATAGATTTTTTACTTGTCCTACTAACATTGTCTAGTTTCCTCCCCCCTCCTTTTCAAAATAATGGATCTGAATCTGATTTCCTTATACGTATATGCAATATTTAGCATTCTAATGATTCCACCAATACATGAATCAGTATTTGTTTACAAATAATGCATTTTTTACTGGGCGATTGACTCACCAATCCACTGAATGAGTTGCAATGCATGATGGACTACTATGTGTTTTCAATTGTTTATAACTGAATGACATACAATACAATTTTTAACACATTGCCGAAAAAAGAATTCGTCTTTATACATATTCTTCATTTGTGTTTACATTTATGATACAAAATATTTTGTTCTGTGTTCACATTCACAAATAATAACTTCGTTGCTATATATATGAAAAAAAACGTTTAAATAATCAAATGAAAATTCAGACATTTGTTCACAAAAAAAGCAAAATACCCGAATTACAACCACAAAGATGAACACACAGACTTAAATATATTCATTCACGAATCAGCAGCCAATTGACCAAGACAAAGACATAAAAACTCAAAAGACAAATAAGTGATGCATCCAGGTTCCGAAAACGGGAGTCGCATGAACTTTTCAGTGATCCAGTAAAATTGAGAAAGTGATTGTCAAATTTCTGTAAAATGGACTAAAATTGAAAAATAATAGTTTTCTTTGTTTGTTAATTTGTTACTTCTTTTGTTTTTTGTCGCAGAAAGCTCGACATAGGGATAGTGATCCAGCGGCGGTGGTGGTCACGGCGGCATTAACTAACTACTTAAAAACTTTATATTTTAGAAGGTGGAAGACCTGGATGCTTCATACTTTGTATATAGATGCCTTATGTTATGAAGTTCCCATCTGTCATATGTCCATTGTCCTTGACCTTATTTTCATGGTTTAGTGACTACAAGGCCGTAACTACCATTGAGGCAAGTGAGGCAATTGCCTCACTGAAATTTCGACACTGAATTCGTTTATGGTAATTAAATACGAAATATAGCCATTTTTTAGCTCACCTGGCCCAAAGGGCCAAGTGAGATTTTCTCATCACTTGGCGTCCGTCGTCCGTTGTTGTCGTTGTCGTCGTCGTCTGTCGTCGTTAGCTTTTTACAAAAATCTTCTCTGAAACCACTGGGCCAAATTTAACCAAACTTGGCCACTATCATCATTAGGGTATCTAGTTTACAAAATTTGTCCAATGATCCCGCCAACCAACCAAGATGGCAGCCATTGCTAAAAATAGAACATTGGGGTAAAATGTAGATTTTGGCTTATATCTCTGAAACCAAAGCATTTAGAGTAAATCTGACATGGGTAAAACTGATTATCAGGTCAAGATTTACCTTACATTCCGTAATCCAATTTTGACATTATTGAGGGACGGTAGATTGGACCCCCTCCTACCACCTCATTATTCGATTGTCGATCTAAAATATCTTACCACTGTCTATTTCCAGAAATAATCTGAAATCATGGACTTACATATAAAGGCGAAAATTGTAACAGCGGTTAATATGTACATCTCTAAGTCTGCACTAAGTAAAGATAGATCAAGAATTTTATCAAAAATTAGATTGGTTTGGAAACATGTTTTAAATTATTAGGTATAAGCTTTGATGTTAATCTTGATAGAATTGTAAAAATTAATTATGATGAAAAAATTGTACAAATAAAATGTGTAATTAAACAATGGTCAAAACGAAATCTTACTGTTATTGGTAGAATAACTGTTGTAAAGACATTGATATTGCCTATTTTAAATCATTTGTTTATATCCTTACCAAATCCAAGTGATGATATTTTAAAAAATGTTATTGAACTTATGTACAATTTTATATGGAGTTCACCAATTGATAGAATAAAGAGAGATGTTTTACAAAATGGTATTGAAGATGGTGGACTCAAAATGATAAACCTTAGTGCATTTATTTTAGCACTGAAGTGTACATGGATAAGGAGATTATTTAAAACAGACAACAAATGGCAGAATGTTTTTTTGTCAAATGTTCATGTAGAATTTGAAAAATTTTATGGTTGTGGAAGTGTTTATATACAAAAATTACAACAAAATATCAAAAATAAATTTTTGCAAGATGTTCTGAAAGCATGGCAACTTCTCAGAGAAAAAGATGAATATGACAGTTGGGAATGCTTTCTTGCTAGTCCAATCTGGCTTAACAATAATATAAAGGTAGCAAAAAAACCTATTTTTTATAAAGATTGGTTTGAAAATGGTATAAGATTTATAAATGATATTGTAAATGAAGATGGGACTTTTTTCTCTCATCAAAAATTAGAAGAGATGTATCAGATAAATGTGAATTTCATGAGATATAATAGTATTATATCTGCTATACATCAAGCATCAAAATCATTTGTGGGAAAAAATCACAAATTAGAACTACCTTTAATTCCATCTGCTATTAAAAGACTTGTTCAAAGTTCAAAAGGATCTAAAGATATGTATATTGTTTTGAATAAAAATAAAAGTGTTCCCACTAGTCAGTTAAGATGGACTGAAATTTTTGGCTTTGATCAAAATCATTGGAAAAAAATTTATAAAATGCCTTTTGTTGTCACAAATAACACTAAGTTACAGTGGCTACAGTATAGATTCAATCATCGAATCTTAGCTACAAACAAATTTCTTCATAAAATTAAGATTTATGATAATCCAAATTGTACATTTTGTAATAGAGAAATTGAAACATTAGAACATTTATTTTGGGAATGTGAACATACACAATTATTATTAGAACAGATTGAAAATTGGTTTCTGACCAATGGGATTAGTGTACCATTTACAAAAGAAGTTTTTTTGTTTGGTAACATTGCAAAAATATCAAAAGGCAATGCAGAAAATACTCTTTTTCTTACCATAAAGCAATATGTTTATAATACCAGATGTTTTAAAAAAAAACTGTCAATAAACTCAATAAAAGAGAAGATGAAATATGTTTACGCAATTGACAAAAATATTGCTATGAAAAACAAATGTGAACATCAGTTTCTCAGAGAATGGAATAATTTTGATAGATTACTTAGTTAGGTACAAAAATGTATATACTTTACATTTAATATTATACATGTTACAAATGAAAATGCTGTATTTACTATACTAAAATAGAATTCAATGTCTAGATGAATTGCATTGAAAACTCACCACACTATTCTCTCTCACTCTCTTTCTCTCTCTATTTCTCTCTCTCTCTCCGGTGTTCAGACTGCTTTACTCTTTATCTTATATTTGTATATTGGGAAAAAAAAAAAATTGCTTCCTAATAAAAAGATGTATTTGATTAGATAATATCAATAGATTTATATATTATATATTGTTATTATTTGTGTATATTATGTTGTAAATTGGAAGTTATAAATAATAAAAATTAAAAAAAAAAAAGAATTTTATCAAACTGTTGTTTACAAAGTGAAATAAGCACGTCATAATGGAATGCAAGTTAAATTCAGATATCTATAGAGAAAGACAAACATTTACTTTACTTATAACTTCTGTCATTTTGTTCTGTAGATGAGATAGATAGTTATATGTATCAAACTGTGGGACACCATGCCATTCATTTGTATGCTGAAGCCATTGGATTACCACTTTATCGTCATACTATTGAGGGTTCATCGACAACTATAAAAATGGACTATAAGACAACTGAAGGAGATGAAGTAGAGGATCTATATACTTTATTGAAGAAAATTAAAGTAATTTATTTCATATGATTAACACTATAAGTATCTATCAACAATAACAATATGAGACTTGCATTAGTTGTTTTATTGAATGAAAATAACTTGTGCTAATACGGCTTACACTCCAAGGCACCTGAGTTGACTCCTTTTTTTTGGTGTGACTTCAGTGTTACTCAGTTTGTTGTTTTCTGTGTGGTTATTTGTGAACTGTTGCTTATCTATTCTTCTTTTCTTCTTTAGGTAGCGGTGTTGTCTGTCCTTCTTTGACTTCAGATCTTTTATTGATCCCTTAGTATTTTCTTATAAAGTTCCTTTTTAGCTCACCTGGCCCTTTGGCCAAGTGAGCTTTTCTCATCACTTGGCGTCCGTCGTCTGTCGTCCGTTAACTTTTACAAAAATCTTCTCCTCTGAAACCACAGGGTCAAATTTAACCAAACTTGGCAACAATCATCATTGGGGTATCTAGTTTAAAAAATGTGTCCGGTGACCCGGCCAACCAACCAAGATGGCCACCATGGCTAAAAATAGAACATAGGGGTAAAATGTAGATTTTGGCTTATATCTCTGAAACCAAAGCATTTAGAGTAAATCTGACATGGGGTAATATTGTTTATCAGGTCAAGATCTATCTGCCCTGAAATTTTCAGATGAATGGGACAACTTGTTATTGGGTTGCTGCCCCTGAATTGGTAATTTTAAGGAAATTTTGCAGTTTTTGGTTATCTTGAATATTATTATAGATAGAGATAAACTGTAAACAGCAATAATGTTCAGCAAAGTAAGATCTACAAATAAGTCGTCATGACCAAAATTGTCAGTCGACCCCTTTAGGAGTTATTGCCCTTGATGGTCTATTTTTAACAATTTTTCGTAAATATTTGTAATCTTTTACAAAAATCTTCTTCTCTGAAACTACTGAGACAAATTTAACCATACTTGGCCATAATCATTATTAGGGTATCTAGTTCAAAAAATTTGTCCGATGACCGCGCCTTCGAACCATCATGGCCGACTTGGTTGAAAATAGAACATAGGGGTAAAATGCAGTTTTTATACGACAGCAAAAAAATTTTTGTGGTCGTATATTGGTATGACGTTGGCGTCGCTGTCGTCGTCTGGCGTCGTCCGGCGTCGTCCGAAGACACATTGGTTTTTGCACTCTAGCTTTAGTTTAAGTGAATGGATCTCTATGAAATTTTACCACAAGGTTCAATACCACAAAAGGAAGGTTGGGATTGATTTTGGGGGTTATGGTACCAACAGTTCAGGAATTAGGGGCCAAAAAGGGGCCAAAAATAAGCATTTTTGTAACTTCCAGACATAACTTGTGTGTTAGTGTATGGATCTCTCTGACATTGTACCACAAGGTTCCATATCACAAAAGGAATGCTGGGATTGATTTTGGGGGTAATTGCCTCAAAATATTAGGAATTAGGGGCCAAAAAAGGGTAAAAAAACAAGCATTTTTCTAGTTTCATGACAATAACTTGTGTGTAAGTGCATGGATCTTTCTGAAATTGTACTACAAGGTTCCATATCACAAAGGAAAAGCTGGAATTGAGTTTGGGGGTAATTGCTGAAACGTTTAGGAATTGGGGGCCAAAAAGGGGCCAAAAATAAGCATTTTTCTAGTTTCCAGACAATAACTTGTGTTCAAGTGTATGGATCTCTCTGAAATTGTACTGCAAGGTACCATACCACAAAGGGAAGGCTGGGATTGATGATGGGGGTAATTGCCTCAATATTTTAGGAATTAGGGGGCCAAAAAGGGGCAAAAAACAAGCATTTTTCTAGTTTCAGGACAATAACTTGTGTGTAAGTGTATGGATCTTTCTGATATTGTACTACAAGGTTCCATATCACAAAGGGAAAGCTGGGTTTGAGTTTGGGGGTAATTGCCCTAATTGTTTAGGAATTTGGGGCTAAAAAGGGGCCAAAAAACACATTTTTCTAGTTTCCAGACAATAACTTGTGTTCAAGTGTATGGATCTCTCTGAAATTGTACTGCAAGGTACCATACCACAAAGGGAAGGCTGGGATTGAGTTTGGGGGTGATGAATCATAAGGGGGTTCAAAAAATTTGGGGGGGGGATTTTTTTTTTTTTTCCTTTTTTTTCTTTTACACATCAAAGAACCCTAAGAATTCAATTTCTGTTAAAATCAAACTAAGTTTAATTTTGGACCCTTTGGACCTTAATGTAGACCAATTTGGAAACGGAACCAAAAATTAAGAATCTAAATACACGGTTAGATTCGGCATATCAAAGAACCCCAATAATTCAATTTTTGATGAAATCAAACAAAGTTTAATTTTGGACCCTTTGGACCTCAATGTGGACCAATTTAAAAACGGGGCCCAAAATCCAAAAACTAAATACACGGTTAGATTCAGCATATTAAAGAACCCCAAGAATTCAAGAATAAAACCCCATTGAAATTGATCAAGAAATAAGCAATTTATACGAAGTATCTTCTTTTGCACAATACTGTGCAATTAAATATTTCTTGCTATTGCGCAATACTGTACAATTGACAATTTCTTGCTATTGCGCAATATTGTGCTATTGGATATTTCTTGCTATTGCGCAATACTGTGCAATTGAAGATTTCTTGCTATTGCGCAATACTGTGCAATTGAAGACTTCTTGCTATTATGCAATACTGTGCAATTGAAAATTTCTTGCTATTGCACAATACTTATTATATAATAATTTACACATCCTGTTTGGTGTGTATCTCCTACCATATCATTATTATTTGCTTTTAAATATAAATCAGAAATAACCAACTTAAAATGGAAAATTTTAAAAGAAAAAAAACATGTATTTAGATTTTTGATTATGGGCCCAGTTTTCAAGTTGGTCCAAATCGGGGTCCAAAATTAAACTTTGTTTGATTTCAACAAAAATTGAATATATGGGGTTCTTTGATATGCTGAATCTAACCATGTATTTAGATTTTTGATTTTTGGGCACCGTTATCAACTTTGTCCACATTGAGGTCAAAAGGGTCCAAAATTAAAGTTTATTTGATTTCATCAAAAATTGAATTCTTGGGGTTCTTTGATATGCTGAATCTAACCATGTATTTAGATTTTGGATATTGGACCATAATAGGTGAATGTCCAATTTAAAATTTTTAAGTTCTTAGACCACATTCATTCTGTGTCAGAAACCTATGCTGTGTCAAATATTTAATCACAATCCAAATGCAAAGCTGTATCAAGCTTGAATGTTCTGTCCATACTTGCCCCAACTGTTCAGGGTTCGATCTCTGCGGTTGTATCAAGCTGCGCCCTGCGGAGCATTTTATTGGTTTATATTTCTGAAACCAAAGCATTTAGAGTAAATCTGAAATAGGGTAAAACTGATTATCAGGTCAACATCTATCTGCTCTGAAATTTTCAGACAAATCTGACAACCTGTTGTTGGGTTGCTGCCCCTGAATTGGTAATTTTAAGGAAATTTTGCAGTTTTTGGTTATTATCTTGAATATTATTATAGATAGAGATAAACTGTAAACAGCAATAATGTTCAGCAAAGTAAGATCTACAAATAAGTCTCATGACCAAAATTGTCAGTCTATCCCTTTAGGAGTTATTGCCCTTTATAGTCAATTTTTAACAATTTTTCGTAAATTTTTGTAATCTTTTACAAAAATCTTCTGTGACAAATTTAACCCTACTTGGCCATAATCATTATTAGGGTATCTAGTTTAAAAAATTTTTCCGATGACCCCGCCTTCCAACCATCATGGCCGACTTGGTTAATAATAGAACATAGGGGTAAAATGCAGTTTTTGGTTTATATCTCTGAAACTAAAGCATTTAGAGCAAATCTGACAGGTGGCAAAAATGTTCATCAGATTTAGATTTATCTGCCCTGAAATTTTCAGATGAATCCGACAGCCCGTTGTTGGGTTGCTGCCCCTGAGTTAGTAATTTTACAGAAAAGAATGCAGTTTTTTGTTATAATCTTAGATATCATTAATAATATCTGATATCTAATACTATTAATTATGATTTTAACCTTATTTTACATGATTTCCAAAGCATCAGTAATACAGGTGAGCGACACAGGCTCTTGAGAGCCTCTAGTTGGAACATATCTATGTTTATTTTGGAAGCATATACCGGTAGACTACTTTGTCTCACAGTTTGTCAGAAACAACTACTTCCAGGATGGAATCTTGAGTTTCCCTTTCTTAATTAAAATTAAACTTATACCAATGTTAGATATAGGGCAGGGGAAGAATACTTGGATTTAGGGGTTCTAAAGGCCAAACTCAGTGTCACTGTTACTAAAAAAAGAATTATATTTTTTTCGCTTGTCTGTCTGTCAGTCCCGAAATTGGTTTCCATTCTCTAACTTTAGTTTGCCTGAACCAAATGTTATGAAACTTATATACAATGCTTATTAGCGCTAAACACATATCAAGTTCGAATTTTGGTGGCGCCACTTTCACCGCCTTCAATGCCGCACCCGGAGGCAGGTTTCTGCTGGCCCCTAGACAATAATGTATACTAGTTCAATGAAATGGATGCCACACTAAACTTTGAAACATACAAATGAACCAAAATTTTAAAAACACACAAGACTACTAAAAGCTAGATGTTCCTGACTTGGGACAGTGCAAAAATGTAAGCCCTTTTCAACCTATTTTTAGCCCCGCCCCCTGGTAGGCAATGGGGCATTAAGTGTTACCCTTGACTGTCCGTCCTGCCGTCGATTCGTTTTTCCACCGTCGGTCTTTCCATCTGTCTGTCTTTCCTTCTGTTCCATTTTCGTTTTCCGCACTCTAACTTAAGTTTTTTACATCCAAATTTTATGAAACTCATTTACAATGCTAAGAACCAGAGTAGTTCCAATTTGGGCACCGAGTCACTTACTGTTATAGAGTTATGCAGAGGCGGATCCAAGGGGTGGTCACCAGTTGCACATGACCTCCCCTGGGGGTTGGAAAAAATGGTTCACCATGTGCATTTTAATGTAATATTTTGATTACTTTATCAA